CTTCTACAATCCTGTTTAAGATCTGGTCAATACCATTAACCTGAAATTCTTTTCCTTCCTCTATTCCTGTGATCCATAGATTTGGTCTTTTCATGGTGTCCCACATCTCTTGCATATTCCATTCCTGTGTTTTTAAAAAATTTTCCATAATCTTTGCTTGAGTGGTCCAATTCTTCATCTTTATCCTCCAGTGTTGATATTCTGTTTTCCATTTCATTCATTCTAGTGGCGAGGCTTTCCCCTGTTGTTTCAACTTGGCTTGAGTTTTGCACTTCGTTCTTCATTTCTGCCTGAGTTTTCTTCAGTGTTTCTATCTTGTGAATTCATTCAGAAGTTTATCCCTATCTTCTTTAAGTCTTTGATTTGTTTGTTTGTGTGTTCTTTAAATTTATTGAATTCCTTGATTGTATTTATGATTGTTCATCTGTCCTGAGTTATCTCTAGGGGGTTCTCCTTGTAGAACTCTTCTACAGGACTGGTGGAGTTTGGTGGGGACATAGTGCTTTGGCTTTCCATTTTATTATTCTTTTGTTGTGATTTTAGCACATGAATTTCTTTTGTTGTTTATGATTCTGATATGAGAATTAAGTTGAAGTATGCTCTGTGTATTATCGAGGTGCCTAGGTCCTTTCTTCTTTGGTTATGTAAAGCTGGTTGGTACAGTTTTCAGGTTCTCTCAGATTTTATTTTGGAGGTAACTGATGGCTGCAGATCAGCTATTCAGGAGAACCCACAGATGCCCAAGTCTGGTTCTAGTCAGGTACACTTAGGCTTCCTTCTAAGGTTTGGACCCCTATTAACAGAAACTCAGAAAATTTGGGAAATTCCCTAAGAGGGGGACTGGCGATTTTGGGTCTTTCAGTTGGTCTGCTGTGATCTCAGCCTTAGCCTTCCAAAGCCAGATCTGCCCTGGGGCCTTGGGAGGGGCCTCATGAAATCCCAGGTAGGGGGATGGGTATGGCACAATTAGGGGATGCTCACTACCACATGGAGGTGGGATCTGGGGGCTCTCAGGCAGTCCCCTGTGTCCTCAGCCCCTGTGCCAGAGGGAGGCCAGAACCTGGCACTCTCTGGTGGTCTGCTGAGATCACAGTTGCTACAGTGATGGAGGTCAGAGTCCACCCTCTGAGCTTGAACTCTTGATCCTCCTGCCTCTGCCTCCCAAGTGCTGGGATTACAGATGTGCAGCAACATGCCTGGTTTTATGCTCTATGTCTTTCTTTGTACATGGATAGAGCAATATTAAGTGGTAGTGTTGATGAAGGCTACTTTTGTAGTTTTCTTTATTTTAATAGAATCATTCTATATCTTTTTCTCTCCATTTAGCATAGTATTTGTAGGTTTTGGGGGAGGTATTTAATCAAGGAAGTTTTCTTCTATTAGTTTATTGAAAGTTTCTTTAATTGACAGGCGTTGAGTTTTTTAACTGATTTTTTTGGAGTTTATTGAGATATTTGTATGGCTTTATTCATTTCATGTAAGACTCTCTATCCTCTTATATTCCTTTCTTTTTTGATACACTGTATCTGAGTTACGCTTTTAGATGGAAGAATGCTGCTAGGTCTCTGAGTCTATCTACATACAAGAAGGTTTCACTGAGCACTCATTTGAATGTGTATAAAATTCTCATCAAATTATTTACCCTCAAAATGTTGATGTTTGAACTCTCATTGTTCTCCAGTATCCAGCATCACTAATAAATCTAATCTGACGGCAACTGGAGCCTTGATCCTTTGTAAACAGATGTGGATTTCTTTGTCTTAAAAAAAAAAATCTTTCTCTGTTTTCTGAATTTTCTTGTCTTCTGTCTGGCAAGCTGTGCATTTCTCAGTTCCAGATGCTGCTTTAGTTGCCTTCAAAGTCTGTCTGTGTCTTAAGTTAAAGCTTAAGAGTGTGGTTCTCCATCTCATAGGTGCTCTTCAGGCAGGGCTACACACCTGTCTGTTAGGGAGGAGGACAACCATCCTCTGGCTTCCTCTTGTATGCTTGAATGTGGTACCAGTGGGCATGCAGGGATCACCCCGGGGCACGGTTTAATCAAGCCGTAAAGTTTCCCCCAAAGGTTAAACTGCCTTATATTTTTGCCCCTCTTTCAACTCATGATTTTTTTTTTACTTTTTATTGTTATTTAAGTGCTTTAGGATGAGAGGAAAACGAGATGGCCCATCTGCTGTTTGAGCTGATAACCTCATTGGCTCTCTGCTTTTCACTTTTCGGCAATTTCTCAGTCTTCCACCATCACTGATTTTATTTTATAATGAGCGATGTCACCTTGGAAATTAAAATCTTGTAGTATAAAGGCCCTTGCATGGTCAATGAATATGGAAAGCTTGCCAGAACTGTTCTGGGATGCCACCACTGGCCAGTCATTCCAGGCCCCGTTTTTTTTCAGCAGAAGCTGGAGACTGGTGAATGGGGCAGGGGGTGCTTGGCCACAGATTTGACAGTTTTCATGAATTTGCCGTCCCAGCCTTCTGACTGCAGATTAAATCAAGGTCCTTAAACTTTAATCCCTGTCCTTGAAACTTTGGTTTTCAATCTACATTTGATTTGATTTTTCTTTCATTTCTGGAGGAATTTACTGTGTTTGAATTTGCATTCAGTAGGTGAACAGTAGAGTCTTGCAGGCCTTATTTGTCAAAAATTAAGTCTCCTCTCACCCACCAGAGACAGTCATACATACTTTGGATTGCTCCCCTTCCTTCCCTCCACTCCCAGCATGCTCTAGAGAGGTGAAGGAGGCCAGTTTGTAGTTAGCATGGATAAACCCTGATTCCAGTGCAGTATGGGGAGACAGAAGACCCATATAGAGAGGAACAATATGCCCTATATTTCATGCTCCATGTAAACACTCATGAATTCCTTAAATTATCTTCCAGTCCATAAAACTGTTACTCATCACATGAATAGAAAAAAATTCAGAATGCCCTGAATAAGCCCTATCTTCATAGCCCTGCCACGTGTGCTTAAGGGTGTGACTTGAGGGTGGCACATTTTCACATTAACAGGTGACTAGTAATAAACCTGGAGACACCAGTGGGTCTGTTTACTGACTTAATTAACCCATAAATGCTCAGTCATTTGTGCTGACTGCTGGTGTTCCTCATGTCCAGCAGTGTGAAAGGGCTCCTGCGCTGTACCTGACCAATGGCAGGTATTCAGGGCTCTCCATGTTGACAGCAGCCAAAGGCATGAGGAATAAATCCTAAAGCCATTTAGCCATTTTCCAAAGACAGATCACCAGATCAAGGATATAATATCTGACTGAAAAAACTCGGCGAGTCGCCATGGTGGTGTATATACACCTATAATTCTAGAACCCAGGATGCTGAGGCAGGAGGATCATGAGTTCTAGGCCAGCCCAGGTTACATAGCAAGTTTAAGGCAACCTGAGCTACCTTGGTAGACCTTGTCTCAACAAACCAAGGTCTGGGGATATAGCTCAGAGGTAGAAAACTTGCAAGGCCCTCAATTCAATCTTCAGCATTGCAACAACAGAATTAAAGATGAGGTGGTAAACAATGGAAGAAAAAATATATTTCTCATTATTGCACCTTAAGTGATTATTAATAATTAATTTTTATGTGTGTATGTATTTGCATGTTCAGTGCACATGCATGTGGACCTTGAGAATAGCTTCAGGTGTTATTCCTCAGGAGCCTTCTACCTTGCTTATCGAGACTGTCTCTCATTGGCCTGGAGTTTGCTGAGTAGGCTAGGCTGACTGGCCAGCAAGCTCTGGGGAGTCCCTTTGTCTCCATCTCCCCAGCACTGAGAGTACAAGTGCAGGTCACCATACTGAATTTCTTACTTGGGTTCTGGGGATCAAACTCAGGTCCTCGTGCTTGCACAACAAGCACTTTACTAACTGAGCCATCTCCCCAGTTCCACCGTAAGTGACTTTTCATGGCTGTTTATCACAACACACCTGTGTGTAATTTGTTGGAAACGTCCTTTCTCTGCCTTTTCTCTAGGATATAGAGTACATACGATCCCATTACAACATTGAGGATTTCATCTGCTTCAGCCACCACCAGCAAGAAGAACATGGGCGCTTGCACCACTTTGTTCTGAATCCCATTTTCCAGCACTACTCAAAATTTTTCTTGAAGGAGATCCTTCGGTTGGGCTATAAGTCCTGCCTCTACTATCGTGTATACCCACAGTCCCAGGAAGGCAAGGTGAGAGGTGGTGGGCATTCACTTTCCCCAGGTGTGTGCTCAGCATCATCCCACACGTGCAGTACCTCATTTGTTCTTTTCATGATGACTTTGATTATGACATGGATCTGAGTCTCCACTGGCCGTATTGAGTTAGGCCATTTGCTTCACAAGGTAACAGTCCAGAAGGCTTCCAGTTTCCGAAACAATCACAACCAACATAATTAGTAGCATCATTTGCTGGTTTATCTATATTGACAAAACGGTATCTAAGAACTCAGCAGAAAATCATGTAAGAGGTATGCAAATCACATTATTTCTCAAAGTGCAATGCCAAAATGATCCTGTCATATTCCTTGAAAAAAGAACTTTAGCGTTATGAGTAGAATAAACTAGTTCCATCCTGTAGGATTGGTGTACTATATACAGCATTCCAAGTACATTTTATAACCATTTCCATAAAACTAATGAATAAAAAGTAGAGATGTGTGATTCTGATGTAATCCTTCTGTAGGAAATACCTGCATAATTCCATCTAACATTTGTTATACTTATATAGAGTAACATAATAAGGCTTCCTATTGTGCATAGGTCACACAGAGGTGTCCGAAACTCCAGGCCATCTCATTTCCACATCCTTTTACTTTGCTTCAGTGCTCTTCAGAGCACTTTTCACTAGCTGAGAGTGCACATTTTACCACACAGGCTATGGGTTTGCCCTTTCTTGTTCAAAGCTGTATGTGCAGCATGTAGAAGCTACACATACAAACATGCAGACACCTGTACAAGCTCATGTACTATATCCTGGTTGTTCCTTAGGCAAGTGCCTGGTCAAGACAGATTCCCAAGGGGTTCTTTCCTGAAAATTGGTCCCTCGGTCACTGACGCCATTGGCCCTCAACTTGATATGCACTCAAGGGATGATGGGTTTAACCATCAGGGTAGGTAGAAATTGTCCCTTCAGATTCTTTTCATGTCTTCAAACTTTCTCGAGTTCATCTTAGGGTCCTGGACATTGTCACATCTCTTCTTAGTCATCATTTATTCCTTAGTCAAGGAACAAAGTCAATTTTAAGATGCTCTCATTTATCAAAGTATTTATTTGTAAATCTGTAAGTATATTAGTACACACACACACACACGCGCGCACGCGCACAAAACAATAACTACCTGTGTAACTTATAAAATAAAAGCCAGTTGGAGAAATATGGAGGGAATAGGAAAGAAAGAAGAGAAACACAGACGATATTTTTCATGAGATGTAGACTCTGTTCCAGTGAGGTTTTTTCCTCTTGTCAAAATAGAGCAGGGCAAGGAAATAGTGGCGCAAGCCTTTAATTGCAGCACTCAGGAAACAGAGGCAGGCGGATCTCAGTGAGATGGAGGCTACCTGGTCTACTTAGCTAGTTCCAGGCCAGCTGGGGGCTGCAGGGAAACCTTGTATCAAAAAGACCAAAAAGCAGCTATGTAATTGCCCCAGATTTGAACTTAATGACATGGAAGGTAATGGTTTTACTTGAAAACCCTGGACCTAAATAGTTTCCTTCACTTTACACTTAGTCAAACACCAATTGTGTGACCTTCTGGTTGTAACATCTTAGTTTCTATTCACAGTGCTGCCTGGATGTGCTGGGCTGGGTTGGAGAAAAGTCCCTTTGCATCCACAATAAAACAGCTTGGGTGTTTCATTGCATGTGTATCTATTTAACAAGCATTGCAGACTTAAAGGCAAGCTCTGCTGCATGTAAGCCATAGAAACAGATTTTCTCAGTCCACACAGCCTGTTGATTTACACATATACATTTAAAACAAACATAGGAAGCAATACCACATACTTTGGGTGAGATTTCTCAAATTGTGCAGTAAATTGGGTTGAGTGCAGTAAAGTTGAACTGCCTGGATCATACCGTGTCAGTGGCTCTCTTATCCCCTGCACGGAGAGACAGGCACTCAAAGGCATGAAAACAGCACTCTGGCCAGGGATTCCCATGGTCTTTAAAAACAAAAGATTTATTTCTTTTATTTTATGTATATGTGTGAGTAGGCATGCCCATGTGTGCAATGCCTGTGGAGACCAGAAAAGGGTATCGGAGCCCCAGGAACCAGAGTTGCAGGTGGTTGTTAGCTGCCATATGGATGCTGGGAGCCAAACCCTGGTCTTTTGCAAAAGCAGCCAGTTGCTCTTAACTGCTGACCCACCTCTCCAGCCCCTGGGTTCCACTTTTCAATTTGTAAAGTCAAGGTGTGAGGTGCAATTGTGAAGGATTCTAGAAAACTCTTCTTAGAAGCTCTTAGAAATGTTCTGTTTTTAGAGCAGCAAACAAGTCCTCTGTAAACCATTTTATTTATTAAGATACATCTGTATTTCCACTTTCTTTCTTAAATTATATATACATATGTATATGTAAATATATAAGTAACAGTTTGAGTTTCACAGTTTAACACTTGTAGTTGAAATGGTTTCTATGCCCTGAGTTGGTTTTAACAAAATACCAAGATTACATAAATGTGAGACTCACTGTAGATTACATAAATGTGAGAATCACTGTATTTAGCTTTCTCTGCCAAGTTTTAAAACTAGATAAATTAATATTGAAGCATTATCCTAAAATATGATTTATCATCTTTCATTTTGACAATCATAATTCTAGTTAATATTTTGTAATAGCATAAATGGAAATAATATGATCTACTTCCCCACCCCCACTTTCCAGTTTTATTTTTTAAGACTCTTATTTTAATAACAAAAGTCCAGGTGAAGTCACCTCCGGTGACAGGAGGGTTTTCATATCTGGGCTAAGTTGCCGCCTGGATGGCATTTTTATTTATGTGTGTTAAAGCAGCTTGTGCCAAACACACAAAGGTTAACAGGACTCAGATAACATAGCTTAATGGGGTCAAATCAAGCTGATTCATGATCACTGTGGAGAAGAATATCCTCCTGGGGGAAATACTTGTACTGAAAAATCCCATAAACCAAACCACTTGTTTATCTGTCATTCCCACAGAGATAGTAATGTAATTACTCTCGTAATTATCTTCATTAGTGTCAGGAATTATCTACAATTCATTCCTCTGCTCGAAGAGTATGTTTGTTTATTTGCTGATTTTTTTTTCCCTCTCTCTGACTTGGCGGAGTTAAGAGTTTTGTATTTGTCAAGCTGCACACAGACATCTGTGCTGCGCCTCTCTGACATTCTCTCCCCTAAAATATAGATTGCTTTCTTTCAGTTGCAGAACCTCTACTCCCACTCCCTGACATCTGCCCTTCATTACTTGGTTCCCGTGCGACCACGACGACAGATTGTCTACCCTCTGGAAAAGCTTGGCATAAACGCTCCATCAAAGGAGGTCTCCAAGGATCAGGTGGGTAGCAGGGCGGCAGGCAGGGAGGCACAGTGCCAGCTCCCGCGGGCTTGGCAGATGGGGTGGCAGCCCTGTCTTCGAAGAGCAGGCTGCTTCTTAATTACAGGGAACCTGGCGCTCATACCCTTACAGGCAGCACCCTGTGAGGGCTCCCTGCAGCCTTGCCCTGGTTATTTCACAGTAAACCCCAAATAGTGGCCACATCATCCTGCAGGCAGATCCTGTAGGGACACCCTACATGTTGCTGCATCACTGGACAAATGGCTAGAGTCATCCCAGCCCCCTGCATGTTTTTGTCTTTTTCCTGCCCTCCAAAGGAGAATCCCCCCTTCAATTGATTATTTGCTTTCAAGGCAGTCAGTGGTCTTTTTTGCTATTAGGACAAAGCTGCCAGAGAAATGTCACACTGGAGATGTTTGAGTCTTAAGCTTAAACACACACACACACACACACACACACACACACACACACACATTTGGGGGTTTCAGATGATTAACAGGCCTGTTCATATTAGCTGCCATTTTTTACCATAAAATGAATATCCTGGCATGCTGTTGTGACCAGACAAGAAAAGGGACTGTAACCTAGATGTAAATGTTCATATATTTATACATACAGCTGTTATTAGTAATCTAACTAGAAAACAGAATCATATCAACTTGACCAACATGTGGGTTTATAATGTTCTATGTCCTTCTGTTTAAACAAGTTTAAAAGCAAAATCTTTTAGGGAGCAAAGATTTGCTCTTTGTGAGACTGTATAAGAGGAAAGTGAATTTTTAGAAATATTTTATTTGGGGCTGGAGAGACGGCTCAGTGGTTAAGAGCACTGACTGCTCTTGCAGAGGACTCAGGTTCGATTCCCAGCACCCACATGGTGGCTATGAACTGTCCTTAACTCCAGTTCCAGGGGAATCTGAAGCCCTCTTCTGATCTCCGCAGCATTGCATGACACGGGTGCACTTACATATATGCAGGCGATACACTCATACACATAAAATTAAGGTCAGAAGAGGGCATTGGACCCCCTGGAGTTGCAGACAGTTGTTAGCTGCCATGTGGGTGCTAGGAATCGAACCTGGGTCCTCTGCAAGAGCAGCCACTGCTCTTAACCACTGAGCCATCTCTCCAGCCCAGAAAGTAAAATTTTAAGCATACCAAACATTAAGCCTAGGAATTGCTGGTCAGGGCTGATGGGAGTCGCTAAGCCTCTGTGCAGCAGGAAGGGACAAGGGCCACTACCTAAGCTCAGCTTCAAATGGGGTGGGGACTGCTGCCACACCCATCTCAGAAGCCCTTGCTCCTCTGTCCTACAATGATCTTTATATTGGCAAAACAAGTTTATGTTTTCTAGCAATTATAAACTTATATTTGAGTAGAGACTGCATATAGGTAGCAATTCATTTTCCCCTCCTCTAACTTTTTTATTATGGAAAATGGTAAACAAATACAGAGGTGAAGAGAGTTATATAAAAACAGGGCTTCTCAACCCTCCTGTGGTGAGAGGTGTTTCCTTTAATTATTATTATTTTTTATTGTCTAATCTGTCATAAACTGATTGAATTCCAGGAAAAATGTGATTCAAAAGCAAAGGCAGACAAAGTTCAAGTCATTTTGTTACTGCTGATTTTACAGACATAGTGTTACTCATGGAATTGCTCTGAAAGCTCCTGTTTGTTTCTCTCAGTCTCTCTGCTTAGGTCTTCACAGACTTCAAGGAGTTCACATATGAGTTCATGTCCCAAACCACCCTGAGCACTGAAATCTATATGCTCAGCGCCCAGAGGCAGTGACTTTCCATTTTTGGCCAATTTTGAATCTTTTGTCTCTTCACCTACATCCCCTTTCTCTTACATCATTTTGGAGCAAACCCCAGATATATGTCATCCACCAGCATATTCTTAGAGTGAGGGCCCACTGCACACTGCGGGGAGATATGCATAGACCCATCTGGAATTCCAGAGGGCTTGTTGCATGTGCACATTCTGGGAATATACTTAGAGGTTGGTGCAAGGATAATGTTTCGGGTCAGAGAGAGTGGCTGCATGCTGTCCATCCTCCTCCACAGGGTCATACTGATCCCAGGGGAAGGGTCTAGGGTTAGAAATAAGTTCAGGGTCACAAAGGAAGAGATCACCATCACTCCAATTAAAGGGTCTTGACAAGGCCCACTTTTACACCAAATAGAGGATAGGACAAGTTTTTATCCTAACTCCTAACACAGTAGTACTGTCTTTCCCTATTGGCTGGGGTCCAACCTCCCAGTCTTTCCCCGTTGGCTAAAAACCTGTACAAAGGAAAAAAAAAAGGAATGGAGGTGTTGACCAAAGACAGGGAAGGGCTCAGCCTTCCCCCCATTCCCAGGCCATCAATTCCTACAATGCACCAGGACCCTTTTTCTTCTTTTGTAACCAAAAGATTTGTAGGGTGGATGTTAGGGGTGATCAGAAGATTAGAATCCCTTGTCATAAATCAAGAGTTTTTGTTGGGCAGGGAGGAGTGATTAGAACATTAGAGTTCCTTTTAAACTGTTTTGTAGTGTTTGAAAGACTAATATTTGACATTTCTTACACTGGGAAGGAAAAGGATGTGATTTCACCACACATACTGCTTTGAAGCTTGTATATCAGATCAGGTAAGGATGAGAGATGCTGTCCTTTAGCAGCCATTGCTGAGACACCTGGGAGTCAGGACTGGGCCAAGAGAAGGCCTTTTGCATGAGTGGTGGCCCAGGGCTCCTGTGACTTCAGCCAGTACTCTGGTGGTATACATCAGGATGTTGGGGTTGTATGGGGAGGCATGCAGAACTATTGCATAGGTCATGAAAGTGTGGTTCTGAGCATGCAGGATCTCCTGCCTGTCTTCCCCCCACCCCTGGGAACCTCCAGAGTTGGGCTGTTTTGAGATGAGCAGAAGCTCCAGGAGGGGAGAAACCTAGAGAAAACTTTTCGTTTCATTAAAAATGATCCTAGCATTACTTTCCAGGTTGATTTGATATCGTTGCTTGCATTTAATAAGCTTTTCCCTGGTCATCTCATTATGCTATGACTCCTTCCCCTTCCTAGATCCCTGGCATGTGTTAAAGGCACAGTGGAGATAATTTAAACCTGGGGTTCAGGAAGAAAAATACCCACCAGTGAGAAAATGGTGGTGCTGATGTGTACACACTGCAGGGTGCTGCTGTGTTTATGGTGCTGGTGAATTCTGACTGTTGAAGAAGCATTTGTAGCTGATTACATTTGGTCTTGACATATGGCTTTAGTAAGATTAAGATTTAGTAAGGGGCTGGGAATGTAGATCAGTGGAATTCAGCATGCACAGTGCCTAGACTTTGATCAGCTTTTCATAAAACACAGGGAGATGAGGGGTTCAAGACAAACGAATAGTATTTGGCTGGGGAGGCAGCTCAGTGGAAGAGTACTTGTTTAGAATGTGCAAGGCCTTAAGTCTGATTCCTAGAACGGCCAAAAAAAAAAAAAGATAACAGCAAAAATTTAATAACAATTTTAGAAATTTTAAAAGTCCTATCAAAGGATTATCAATATTATCTCACGTGGAATGGGCCTAAATATTCAAAACTTAAGGTGCTAATTTATATTGTTTAAAGTTACTTTTCTCTTTTTAACATTTTAGGTGGTTTTGATGTTTTAGATGAATATCTGAGATATGCTGAACCAAACAGAATGTTCAGAGAGGAATTTCTGTGTTGTCCTAGCATACTGTTGTCTGAGAAGAGCATTAGAGTTGCAATAATTGACTGATGTAAGGCTGAGCAATTGCCATTTCTAACCGAATTCCTTTTCCCCTGCAAGTCTCACACCCCTTGACCCTGTGCATCTAGTTCTATATAGGACCATCTTCCCCCACCCCTGCCACACATCACTGGCATCATTACCTCTCCAGCCACTTGGCTTTTGTACCTTTTATCCTATTTAAAGCATCTTAGACTGACTATCCATTCCCTCTCACTTTCACCTAGGAAGCCAATCTTCAAGGGAACAGATCACTCCAGGCATTAGTAATGGGATAGAAAGCATTTCATCTCCGTGGGTTGCCAATTTGAATCTGGCACAAGGCAGTGGTGATTGAAATTCATTACCGCATGGCAGGGCAGTGTGCCCTCCCCTCCCCACCCCAAGGCCACGGAGCTTCTGCCTGGTTTGGATAGACATCTTCTCTATGGCTTCTATTAATGGAAAGCCCACCCCAGAACAGGTCATAGGAAAGCACATATAAATGCATTAATATTAATCAGATCATAAAAAGGTTGGTCCCAAGGATACATAGCAATATTTCCACAGTCACTATGAACTTGTAGATGAGAGGGGTTTTCTTGATTAAGACCATCATTCATGGGTTGGGCCTGGAAGGTTCTTAATCCAGCTTGAATGAACCATCTCAGCATGTACAGTTATGTTCTGAGCTATTGTCATGGAAACTTTTAATTAGATGGATTGTCATAGGTCTCCTTGAGTACTCTCCTAAGAAACGTTGTAGCTGAATTCATTGTGCAAACTTACTAACTAAAGACTGGAGCTAGTTGCCGTTCTCTTTGGAGATGGTTCTGGTAGAACTTTTTCTTCACTACGCCCTAGAAAGATTCAGAGTTGGCTGTGACACTTCCCTGCTCTTGGCAAGCTGCCAGTCTACTTGCAGTAATTTTGGAGGTAGGTGTGGGGAGTGAGGAGGAAGAAGGCTTGTCCTGGTCCCCGAGAGCCAGAGCCTGGGCTCACTAGGATTAGACACAGGTCTGTAAAATTCCTGAAGTGTTTGTGGTTCGTGTCCCAGGAACTTCTTCCTTTTCAGATGCTTAAATAACAGTTATTTATCATATTAAATCCCAAAAATCTGTTTTGAGCTTAAACAGCCTTTTTCTTTATTATCCATACATGTTCCTTGTGGCCTACTCCAATCACTGTAGTTCTTTATCTTACTTTATAGTGTTCATAGAATTAAGATGTCATTCTTTCAGAATGGTCAACTTTAATGCTATTTTTTTC